GCTCTGGCTTCAGATCAGCCCAGCTCTGGCCACTGTAGCCATTTGGGGAGTGAACCAGCGGATGGAAAACTTTTATCTCTGTGTGGAAACTCTGCCCTTCAAATAAGTAAAGAAATATTAAAGAAAATAAAATAAATGTATTAGGTCTCTAAAGATTATCCTAACTACAAAAGAAATGGAAAAGTCTTGACTTTAAATCTATTGAATGAGTAGTTCATGAATACCTACTGTGTGACTTTATGTAAAATAATGGGAATAGAAGAGGACAGACTGATCAAATGAGTTCAAGAGTTCAGACCAATAACTAAGATGCTTTGACTACTTGCTACCAATCATTGTTCTAGAACATTACATAGTTTATCTCTTATGTTTTTCATGGATATAGTATTATAACCCTTTTGAGCAGATAAGGAATCTGTGGCACAGAGTCAAAATAATTTGCCCAAGATTACATAAAATGTGGTTGGCAGATCCCTAATTTGAATCCAGGTAGTCTAACTCCAGAATTAGGTTTATAACAACTATGCTTAGGACTAATTAATCAAAAATTGGTTTTATATTCCAGTTTGAGCTATACAGAAGGCTGAATAATCTCCATCTATATATAGATGGGGAGGCGGTCAGCATTGTGGAGCAGCAGATTCAGCTACCACCTGTGATGACAGCATCCCATATGAGTGCTGGTTTGAGTCCCAGATGCTCTACTTCCAATCTCACCCTTGCTAATGTGCCTGGGAAAAGTAGCAGAAGATGGCCCAAGTACTTGAGCCCCTATCACCCATGTAAAGAGACCTGGAAGGAGTTCCAGGCTCCTGGCTTTGGCCAAGGCTGGCCCTGGCCATTGTGACCATTTGGGGGTGAACAAGCAATTAGAAAATCAATTTCTCTCTCTCTCTCTCCCTCTCTCCTTCTCTCCTTCTCTCCCTCTCTCCCTCTCCCTCTCCCTCTCCTTCTCTTTCTTCCCCTCTCTGTGTGTCTCTCCTTTTCTCTCTGTAACTCTGCCTTTCAAACAAATAAATAAATCTTAAGAAAAAAAAAGAAAGAAATAGATGAGCTCACAGGAACCTCAGGGAAATTGCCAGTGAATAGAAATTAAAAGAAAACTGGCCGGCGCCACAGCTCACTAGGCTAATCCTCCGCCTATGGCGCTAGCACCCCGGGTTCTAGTCCCGGTTGCTCCTCTTCCAGTCCAGCTCTCTGCTGTGGGCCAGGGAGTGGCAGTAGAGGATGGCCCAAGTGCTTGGGCCCTGCACCCACATGGGAGACCAGGAGGAAGCACCTGGCTCCTGGCTTTGGATCGACACAGTGCGCCAGCCGTAGCAGCTAATTGCGGGGGTGACCCAACAGAAAGAAGACCTTTCTCTCTGTCTCTGTCTGTCAGAAGAAGAAGGAGAAGGAGAAAGAAAGAAAGGAAGAAAGAAAGAAATTAAAATAAACTGAAAACTGGAACAGAAACCTTGTAAATCCTTATATCAGCTGCCCTTGTTGGGGGGTGGGGGAAAGAGAAACAAGGAGAGGAACATAAGAATTTGCTAGTCTCAGAAAGCTTTGGGCTTGGCATTATAATGCCCATGCAGGCATAAGATGGTAGGTCTTTGGCTGACGCAGGGCAAAGAAATGCAAAAGAATCTTTCCTCTCCTGCTCTGTAAAGCTACATCTCTTAAAGAGGTAAATCCTCAGTGACAGAAGAGACTAGAGGAGCTGGCTGCTGCGTAGCAGGTAAAGCCGCCACCTGCAGTGCTGGCATCCTATATGGGCACCAGTTCCAGTTCTGGCTGCTCCACTTCCAATCCAGCTCTCTGCTATGGCCTGGGAAAACAGTGGAAGATGGTCCAAATCCTTGGGCCCGGGGTTGCAGTGGAGGATGGCCCAAGTCCTTGGGCCCTGCACCCCATGGGAGACCAGGAGAAGCACCTGGCTCCTGGCTTCAGATCGGTGCGGTGCGCCGGCTGCAGCGCGCCGGCCGGCCGCGGCGGCCATTGGAGGGTGAACCAACGGTAAAGGAAGACCTTTCTCTCTCTCTCTCACTGTCCACTCTGCCTGTCAAAAAATAAATAAATAAATAACACACACACACACACACACACACACACACACAAATCCTTGCGCCCCTGCCCCTGCATGGGAACCAAGTGGAGGCTCCTCTTTGGATCAGCGCAGCTCCAGCCATTGCAGCTATTTGGGGAGTGAACCAGTGGATGGGAAGACTTCTGTCTGTCTGTCTGTGTCTGTCTGTCTCTCTCTCTCTTTCTCTGCCTCTGTGTAACTTGGCCTTTCAAATAAATAAATAAATCTTAAAAAAAAAAAAGAAGAAGAAGAAGAAGAAGAGACTAGAAAAAAAACACACCTACCTATAAACACAGTAGGTAGCAAAAACAAATGTATGAATTACAAGTGAAAAAAGGCCCTCCTGAGAATTCACAATTACAGAATCATGTTTCATGGGATATATATGTACTCTGGAAAACTTAAAGCTGAAAACTCAGCTAAAACTGAAAAAGATTCATGCCAGTGCATCCAGCAGAAGCAAACCTGAATCTGCTCTGGAAGGATCCATATAATTCCCAAAATTATTTCTATTCTAAAAGTTCAAAAGCTATAAACACATGATAAACCATGCATAAGAATCATCTGACATGATAAATAGAACTTAAGATAACTAAGAAGTTGACAGAGATATCATAATATTTTAAAGATGACAGAGATAATAACATAAATATTTTAAATGAGGGTAAAGATGAAAGAAGGAAATCAAAAGACATGGAAAAAAGCTAACATACAGTAATGATTGGATGGAATTGAAAAAAAAATTTTAAAATGTCCAGAAAATTCAATGGGTGAATTAAAGAGCAGATTTCACATAGTTTAACAAAGAATACAAACTCTGAAAAATATGTGCTAAAAACTATGCAGAATGAAACATTTAAAGATATGTAATTGGAAAATGTTAAAAAGAAAAGAAGAGGCATGAAGGATAGGAGGGTAAGGTTCAGCACATATAAATGACTTCTAGAATGAGAAATTAGAGAAAATACATAGGTAATATTTGAAAGCATGTGAAAATATTTGGCATGGTTAAACAAAATTTGGCTCCCAAACTCATGTAGATATTTAAACCCCAAAGTCATAAATTAAGGATGGAAACTTAATCCAATTACGATGTTTGGAAGGTGGGCCAGTTGGGTGGCCCTAGGTCACTGGGGGTGTGCTCTTGGACAATAATTCTCATGAAGAGACTGATTGGAAAAGACTGAGGCCCACCCACTGTGTCTGCTTCCTGGCTCCCTGTGAGATTGTTCCTCTGCACGTGCTCCACCACTGCCATCCACCACCTTCCCAGATGCCAAGCCAATGGGCTCACCTAATCTGGACTCAAGCTCCAGAACCATAAGCCAAAATAAATCTATTCCATTCACAAATAGCTCATCTAAGGAATTTCACTGTAGCAATGAAAAGCAGACAAATACAATATTTGAAAATGTAACTAAGAATTGTTCAAAGTAAACGAAAAACACAAATCCTTAGATTAAAAAAGTTCAAGTCTCCAGAAAGATAGATTAAATAAATCCATCCCCAGTTGAGTAACAGTAGACATCAAAGACAAAGAGAAAAAAGGCAACCAGAGAAAAATATCTAAGCTAGACAAACCACAGTGGAATTAATATACTAGGTTTTCAAAAGTCTTTTCGTTGGCAACAAGAGAACCACAAACCAAGAGATTGATATCTTCAAAGCACTTTTTGAAAATAACTGTCAATCTAGAGTTTCATACTCAGCCAAAATATTTCTCAAGAATGAGGGGAAAATAAAGACATTTTTCAGAAGAAAATGTGTTTACTGCTCAGACTCATTAAAAATGAGTCCTAGAGGACACACATACAAGTGTACACAAAAAAATTCTTAAAAAAATAGTGGAAAGAAATTGTAAAACCCATGTATAGAAGGCTCATAGTAAAGTTCATGGATAATGCGTATCAAGAAAATCTATGCATGGATTTCAAAAACTTCTGCACCAAAATCAACTTACCTTTTAATTTTATTTTTCTATGAGCTTTTTGAAGTACCCTTTTATTTTAACATGAAAAAAATTAGAGTTAGAATAAAGAGGGGAAATCCAAAAAGTAATGGTAAACAAAGAAACCAATAACCATACAGGCAAACTGAAACTAGCAAATCCAAATAATAAAAACAATAATAACATCTACACAGAATATTAAGTACATGTACACCAGAAAGAATGATAAAATTAACTTCTGTAGCCTTTGCATTTTCTAGGAGGAAAGTAGGGACACTGGCAAACTTTAAAAGTTGTTAGTTCAAGTATGTTCTGGCACAGCAGATTAAGCCGCCATGTCCAACACCAGCATCCCTTATGGATATCGGTTCAAGTCCTGGCTGCTCCACTTCTAGCCCAGCTCCCTGCTAATGTCCCTGGGAAAGCAGCAGAAGGTAACCCAATTGCTTGGGTGCCTACCACCCATGCAGGAGATTCAGATGAAGCTCCTGGCTCCTGGCTTTGGCCTGGCCCAGCCTTGGCCATTTTGGCCATTTAAGGAGTAAACCAACAGATGGAAGATCTCTCTCTCACTGTCTCCCCTTGTCCCTCCCTGTAACACTGGCTTTCAAACAAACAAATAAATATTTTTAAAAAAAATGGGGGAGGGGAAAGGACAGAAATAAATGTTTAATTTTCAATCCAGTAGACTGAAGCAGGAGAAATACAAATAGTCAACCAATCCAATAAAAAGCAGTAAATTTAAAAAAAATACTAGAAACAAATCCAAATACCTAAGAACACATAATTATATTAAATCTGAAACAGAGAGGGGCTTTCAGATTAAATAAAATAAAATCCAGCTTAAAGTATACAGAGACAGGATGGTTAAAATTATTTGGCGCTGCACACATATTAATATCAAATAATTAGGTATTCCATACATAAAAATATTTTAACCTTGACCTATACTTCATGCCTTTATATTTCTCAACAGCAATTTACCTGAAAAGATGCTGGTTCTGGTGAGAGCACCTCCAAAGAAGCATTTGAATTTCTGCTCCCAGGATGGGTTCGTGAACTTGAGGCTGGTTTTGAAATTCCATCTAGGTTCCCCTTTATAATATCCATTGATATCCTGAAAGAAACAAACAAAAAATTAAAAAGCAAGATGACTGGGATTTCTGTTAGTTAATGTGAACAGCCAAGTACTCAGAGCCTTTTAGTGTCATGTTACTACCTGTCACACAATTTTATCAAAAGACATCTTTTGCATACACGGATTGTTAAATCTTATGTCACTGCAGCCTGAGAGAGGCTAAAAGAGTATGTAGAAGTGAATGCCATCTTGGTGGCTTCCTATACATCCATGATAAAACATTTACTGTGCTCTTGGTCGTCCCTGAGCCAACACTTACCAGGCCATCCTTGCCTCTCAACCAAATCCACTTGATCTCAATGATTTGCTAAGGCCTCTCTGGTTTCCTCTGGTTTCGCCTTCCATATCCTGCCTTTTCCACCCTAGCTCAGCCTTCAGCCTGGGATTCCCTCCAAGCTATTTCTCTTCACCTCTCCAGTGTCACACTTTCATGGAATACCTAACTCCAGGGCACTGCCTTCATGTTATCAATCCTCCCTTTCTAAAACCCAGCATTCTACTTCTGCCCTCTAACACAAAAGAATAAAATCTACTTCCTCTAGAAGATGACAGACTTCCATTATCTGGCTCTCTTTACCAGTATCTTTAACTAGCTTTCATGTGACACTAAGGCCTCTCACCACCCTGGCTGCTCTAGTCACACTGTTGATTCCTGAAGCAAGAAATACGGGCCAGGTGGCTTAAGGTAGATGGAGAATGTGGGCATTGTAAGCACACTGATCAAAACCATTCCAGATTTGTCCAATGATATGGGACTAACATGCATGCTGAATAAAAGGTAAGAAACAAAGAATTCCAGTTTTTACACCCTCAACACTCAGCTGTACACAATGAACGTATGTTCCTGCAAACCCTTCCCTAAATTAATTAAACCATTTCACAACAGAAAGAAGAAAGACGATCGGCTCTACTCCTTGCAAGTATGACAATGTGACAATGTCTTTTTTTTCTTATCCTATAAAACACTTATCTATTTTCTTTTCTTTTCTTTGAATCCCGCAGGCAGAAACCAGAGAAGCTTTGGACATTGGCAGAAGCACAAACATAAACGACCTGCAGTTCCTCCTCAGCACACAGAGGGACAATATGGCCTGGCCTCCAACCATTCAAAGTGCCAAAGCTAATGCTTAAGAGACCAGCAGGTCAACTCTTTCCACTTCAGCAAACGAAAAAGGCATTGAGCCCAGCATTATTCAAACTCTGAAAAAGGGTTTCAGCTCACTCAAGAAAGCATTGACATTATTATAGTCAAATGATGGATCACCCTCGCCTATCACATCACAACCAGAAAGCTTAAGTCACCAAAGGCCAAATGTCTTGTAAATGCCCTTGGCAGCCTGTCATGGGAGACTTATTGCAGTTCACAGAGGGAGCAAGGAGATGGAAGCACGTGCAGAGCTGACATAATACACACCAATAACGGGAGATGCACAGGGAGCCATCCGTGACATGGATCAGCTAAAAGGCTCCACAGATGTTTCAGTCTGCTTTAGCAGTAGGTCTCTTCTATCATCTGTGTCCCTGAAAATAATTTAAATAAAATATAAGTCTAGGGATAAGCGAGGATGCAACTAACCAACTGTCTTATGAATTTGGCCACAGAAAGAAAGGTGGATGGATAAAAAGCATTGATATAGGATCTTATAGATTGAATATTTGGAAGAAATCTAAGCTGCCACATAGAAATTCCACAAGAAAAATAAAGCACTATAAGAGAAACAAAGTAACCAAACAACATGTAAGTAGTAATAATTACTTAGGAACTGAATGTTGATTTAACCAAATAGTGTGCCTTCATTATATCAAGTGAATGTGGGAAGGGGTGTGTAAAAAGACACTGAATCCATAATAAGAAAAAAAATCAAAGGGAATGTGCAAAATTTGATAAAGCTAAATAATAGGTAAGTATAATACTGACAAGTTCAAGATGGCTGCCTTTGGCACACAAGACTAACAATTCTTCTTTGCTCCTCCTTTATACATTTATAGTACAGTCTGAAATTTTTTTACCGTATTACTTTAAGAAGAGTAAACACTAATTTTAAAAGTAATAAATAAATGTAAAATATGTACTCTCCAAGGGACTGGAAGGAAATATAAAAGCAATTTTCCTAATTATGCAATTAATGACTTATTAGGCATGCTACCAGGAGCATAGATCAAAAAAGAAGAGATGATTACAAAACATTTAATGTTCTTGAGTCTCAAACATAAAAAATAATTCTAAGTGAAATTAAAAGGTACCTGAAAACTGGGGAGAATATATACAACATAAACAGGCAAAAAGTTAATAAATTTACATGAAGAGTTCTTACCCATCAATAATGGGAAAAAATAGTCCAGTAGAAAACTGGCTATGGACATAAACAGCAATCTACATATTAAAAACAAAGAGGAAAAAGAGGGAGGGAGGGATGGAAGGAGGAAGAGAGGAAAGGGAAGGAAAAACTGTGAATAATCTTGCTTAAGTTCAATTACAGGGGCAGCCTTGTGTAATGGGTAAAGCCGCTGCCTGCGACACCACCACCAGCATCCCATGTGGGTGCCAGCTCCCGTCCCAGCCGCACAACTTTCAATCCAGCTCCCTGTTAATGACCTGGGGAAAGCAGCAGAAGGTGGCCCAAGTGTCTGGAGGCCCAGATGAAGCCACTGACTTCAGCGTAACCCAGCGCTGGCCCTTGCAGCCATCTGGGGAATGAACCAGCAGATTGAAGAGCTCTCTCTCCTTCTGTAACTCTTTCAAAATAAATACATAAATCTTTTGTTTAAAAAAACTTCAATGTCTCTAACTAAAGGAAGATGTAGAAAGAGACCTGAAAGATGATTACAGATGAAGGGAGAGTGCTGTGTTCTGAACTGGTGGATTTCTCCATGTTCTTGTGTCCTTTTGTTATCTTTTGCTTATCTGTATTTTCTGGTTTTCTAATAAATATATTGTGCATTCTTAATCAAAGAATGTACTTGTTCTAGGATTATTTCTATAATTTACTAAAAAGCATTCAAAAATTAACCAAAATCACTAAACAGGAGCATATGACTGCTGTAATTTTTGATTTGGGATAAATGAAAGAATCAAAAGAAAATGAGCCCTCCCTGAGCCCTCCTCTATTTAATAATTACAAGTAGCAAAACTTTAAAAAGTGGAACTGTTTTGGGCACTGCCACTGCTGGGCACCTCAAGACCCCACTGCTCCACTTCCGAACCAACTCTCTGCTATGGCCTGGGAAAGCAGTAGAAGATGGTCCAAGTCCTTAGGCCTCTGCACCTGCGTGGGAAACCCAGAAGAAGCTCCTGGCTCCTGGCTTCAGATCAGCACAGCTCCGGCCGTTGTGGGCAACTGGGGAATGAACCAGAGGATGGAAGACCCCACCCCCACCCTGCTCTCTCTTCTCTCTGTGTAATTCTTTCAAATAAAAAATAAAGTGAAACTTTTATTTTCATGAATTTTTATGGGTAAAAACTACAAATGGACAATTTTTAACTTGCCTTTAAAACAAAAAAAAAATACAGAAAAATGTAAAAGCTTTTAAAGTCAAAATATCTCTCATCCTATGTACCAGTGTCACAGATTCTTATCTCATGTTTGTTTAGGCATATGCAAACTTTCAATCTTCCTCCCTAACACAAACACAAAGAGCACAGTGCTTTGCAACCTGCTTTTCTCCTTTTACATATTTTAGAGATTTTCTTCTGTATCACATTTCTAGATTACTTCTTGCTTTCAAACAACAGCATAACATTCCACTACAAAGATGAACCACTCTTTAAGTCAACTCATTTAATTTGTAAATTTGCTAATAAAATCAATTTTAAAACTTAAAATGGATCACAAACTAATATAAAACTTGCAACTAGGGGCCAGTGCTTTGGTGTAGTGAGTAACAGCCGCCACCTGAGGTGCCGGCATCCCATATGGGCGCCGGTTCGAGACCCGGCTCTTCTACTTCCAATCCAGCTCTCTGCTATGGCCTTGGAAAAGCAGTAGAAGATGGCCCAAATCCTTGGGCCCCTGCACCCACGTGGAAGACCCGGAAGAAGCTCCTTCCTGGCTCCCGGCTTCGGATCGACGCAGCTCCGGCCATTTTGGCCATTTGGGGAGTGAACCATCTGGTGGAAGACCCCTTTCTCTCTCTCTCTCTCTCTCTCCCTCCCTCCCTCCCTCCCTCCCTCTCTGCCTCTCCTTCTCTCCCTGCATAATTCTGACTTTCAAATAAATAAATAAATATTTTTTAAAAAACTTACAACTATAAAAGTTTGAGAAAAATACATGCGACTGTAGGCTAGGCAAAGATTTCTCACATATAGTATCAAAAGCACGATTCATAAAAGAAAATATTGATAATTTGCAGCGCACCAAAACTTAAAACTTGCACTCTTCAAAAGACATTTAAAAAGGAAAATAAAACCCAAGGACTGGGAGAAAAATATTTGCAAAACTTCTATCTGATATAGAACTTGCATCCAGAATAAATAAGACAGAATCAAGATGCAATAAAAAAATGAACAAACCCATTCCCCAAGAAGATGTACTACAGCAATATCAGCACATGAAGAGATATTCAACATCATTAGCCCTCAGAAACATTTGAATTTAAATCACAATGACAAGGTGGGTGTTTGGCTTGTAAGTACACACAATCCCATATCAGAGTGTCTGGTTCCAGTCCCGGCTCCTCCACTTCCCATCCAGCTTGCTGTGCTAATGCACAGCCTGTGAGGCAGCAAGTGATGGCTCAGGCACTTGGGTTCCTGCCACCCATGAGGAAGACCCTGGTGGAGTTCTAGACTCCTGACTTCAGCCTGGCCCATCCCTGGCTATTGCAGGCATTTGGTGAGTGAACCAGTTGATGGATTATCTACCTTCCCACACACTCACCTTTCAAATTAAATAAATAAATAAATTTAAAACCTCAATGGAATACCACTACACACCCATTTGAATGGTGAAATAAATTTTAAAACCCCAATTAAATACCACTACACACCCATCTGAATGGTGAAAATTAATTTTTTACAAAACTGAGGTACCACGTACTGACAAAGGTAGGGAGGAACTGGAACTCTCATATATTGCTGGTGAGAACGCAAATTACAGCAGCCACTTTGCAGAATTCGGGGCAGTTTCATATCAAGTTAAACATATACCTACCATAGATATGCACCCAATAAATGAAAACTCACATTCACACAAAACGTGTACTTGAATATTTACAGAGGCGTCACCAATAACTGCCAAGATTTGGAGACAATCCAAGCGTCCCTCAACTCCAGAGTGGGTTGACACACCCGTCCAATGGGACACTACCCAGCAAGGCGGAGAGACACTCAGCCGATCCACGGAGGGGGAGGAACAGCAACTGCTTCATGCTGAGCGGGAAGAGGCCGGGTTCGGAGCCTACACAGGGTTCGCTTCCACCAGGGCTGGGGGCCCGGACGGGCCTACCACAGGGTTCCCGAGGGGCTTGGGGCATGACGTCACCTGTTGTGTGTGCTGACTGTGGTGGTAATTACGTAAACGGGTGCGACAGTGAAAACCCCGAACAACTCTGCCGCGAAAGCGTGAATTTTCGTCACGTGTAAATTCCCCTCAGTGTTTACATTAACACCTTTTTGGCCGCCTTTCTTTAGTTGTGTTCATAGATTCGGTGGATAAATGAGAATTGCCGGGCCAAAGAACCGTTGCATTTCAAATTATGGTCATGGGCCAAAAGGTCGTGCCACATCGGACCCTCACCAAGAGCACGCGCGCGCCCACGGCCTCACACGGGCCTGCGGCCCATATACTTGTCTGGAAAGCCTTTCCATCTTCGTCAGGCTGACAGGTGTCAAAGGCATCTGTGAGTCTGATTTACATTTCGGTACGCAGGAGGCAGTGGCGTCTCTCGTCAAATGCTTACTGTATTTGTTTATTTGTTGTCTGTGAAACGCCCATGTCATCTTTGCGCATTATGGTCTTGTGTAGGTGGCAAGAAGCCCGGGAATGTGGGAATCCTAAGGGCAGGAAGCTTTGTTACCGCGTTCAGGAAAACCCTGGCGAAAGGCCTCGCCAGAGAAGACTCTGAGGGGCGCTGAGAAGCCCCTGGAACTCTCAGGCGCCAGCTCCTCCCAGGCCTGGGCCCGCCCCTGATAGGCCCGTCCCCAGGACCGAGCCCGCCCCGCACGGCCCGCACGGCCCTCTCATTGGCCCTGCCTGCTCTTCCTGACAGCCCGTCCTCGGGCCCCCCGCCCATTCAAAGCGCGGCGCGCGGCGACGAGCTCCGCCCATCTGCGCGGTTCCTCACCTTCCGGGCGGGGACCTGAGGAATTACTGGCAGGTGGCAGAGTAGCGACGGGCGCCAGAGACGCTCCGTGACACTCGAAGCGTCACGTACTTTCCCCAAAAAGGAGGGATCTTTCCCGCCACCGCAGCCTTACTGGAGTTGGCAGAGGCTGCGGGTCCCAAACCCTCCTGCCTCCGGGAACGCCGTTCCCTTGGCAACCGACGCCTCCAGTCTCGCGATAGGCGAAAAGGGCTGTACCATCCCGAGGGGGGACGTTGGGCCAGGCCACGGAGGCGGCCCCTGCGGCCGGCCTGAGCGGGCTGGTTTGAGTTGGACGCGGAAGGAGCACGCCTGGCTCCTCGCAGTGCTGTCTCTGGTTATTGTTGTGAGGCGTCTCTGAGCCCAGTTTCCCCACCGTAAAACGGGGGTGACGACAAGTCCCTGCTCACGAGGCTGTTGAGCGGCTCATGTGGATGGCGTGCATGAAGCTCTATGTGAATGAGTGCTGTGTAAACAATAAGCAAGCGTTAATTTCGCACAGCGGGGCTACAGGCCAGCCATGTCAGTGATGACTCCTTCCACCTGCTTTTCCTCAGCGTTTCTCTACTGCTCAGCGCAAGACCAGCTCCCTGAGCTCCCAGGGGGACTCCTGCGTCCCCATCCCCGTCAGATGCCGGCGGCCCTCAGGTCTGAAGGGCGTGTTGCCGCTTACGAGGCTGTTTCGCCTTCTTGGCCCCCTTGTCCCCCTAGCTTTTTGTAGGTGTTTTTCAGCGAAGCAAACAGGCGCAGGTTCAGTGAGGTGCCCGAAGAGTGCGGCAGCCACCGCTGCTGATCCTGCTTGTGGACCCTCCAGGCCGGACTGCCCTGCCCCCCAGGCTGCTTTATCTGACGTTTCCACTGAGCTGTGCAAGAAGACTGACACGTGCGGAAACCTAGCATGCGGAAAAGCAAACCTCGGCGCCCTACCATCTCGGCAAATAGCAACGCCATCCTGCCAGGCTCCGACCACCAGCCTCGGAGTCCTCGGCAGTTCCTCTTCCTCGCATGCTCCACAGTTCGTTCTAAATCCTATCAGCTCTTCGCTCAAATCAGTGTCAGAATCCAAACACTTTGGAGGCCCGGAAGGTAAAGCCGCCTCTGCTACGCGTGGAATGCAGATTCGAGTCCTGGCTGCTCCACTTCGGATCTCGCTTTCTGCTAATGCACCTGGAAAAGCAGCAGATGTCCCAAGTCCTTGGGCACCTGCATCCGCGAGGGAGACTCGGAAAGAGCTCCTGGCTCCTGGCCTCATCCGGCCTAACCCTGGCCATTGTGGCCATCTGGAGAGAGAACCAGCAAATGGAAGATTCTCCCCTCCTCCTTTCTATAACTGCTTTTCAAATAAATGAATTTTTTTTAAAAATCCAAACACTTCTCACAACTTCACTGCCTTCAAGTCCACACTGACCCTTTCTCACCTAGATTTTGGCACTAACCTCCTAGCTATATCTTGCTGTTGGTCCCTACTCAACTTTCAACAAAGCAGCCTGAATTTTGCTCTCCACACCCAAGCCAAACGATGCCACTCCTCGGGACTCTCTATGGCCCCCCATTCCACTTACAGCCCTCGGGATGCCCCCAAGTCCTTAGTGATCAGGTTTGTTACCTCTCTGACCTACAGTGCTGCCACCTTCTCCCTGATAAACTCTGCTGCACCCTGACTGTCCTTGCTCTTAGTGTTTCCAGGCAGGAGTTTCTCTCCCAAATTTCTCCAGACGTCTGCATGTTTTTCCAAATCCAAAGATTTTAAAACACCGGTCGAAAGAAAATGAGAGGATGCATTCTAATTCTCCAATGAGAATTAAACCTTAGCAGTTGACAGAGGGTTGTTACTAAAGAAATCCACTGATGCCCAGTCAAAAGCAAGAGCAGAAAATGCTGACGCTCTGAGTCACAATTCGAGGTCAACATTTCCAGGAATCAGGGCAGGAGCACCTGGAAGAAACATGTCTAATCAGACAGTCTGGATTGTAGCTAGAGCCATGTTATAAGTGCTTGTTCCCGGTCCTGTCTGCTGCTGGCAGTGAGACATCCTTGAACATAAATATTAATAAGGTGACATTCATTGTGTACTTGATACAAATTCTATGAACAGTGTTTCAAACAGTAAAGAGTTTTGGATGCAAAATAAGGCTTTAAATTGACCATTTTGAACCTGTGATTCTATGTAGTGCTGCTAAAGCTTACGGTAGATTTCTGTGTTACCTGAAAAAAATTAAACGACTCAGGCTGGGGCTTTCTAAAGTGGACTCCGTTGACTAGGAGAGGATTGCACCCACACTTACTAAAGGTCAAACCACAGAATGTTCCAATGGGCTTAGATAAACAACTCAAGTCAATAGCCCCATAGCCTTCAACATTGCACAGCTGGGACTAATGAACCCACCAATCAGAACAACTTTGCAATTTACAATTTCTGCCCAACCAATTAACTGCCTCTGAAAACAACTTTTTGGAAATCCCCTATTTAAAAGAAAAGAAAAAAGAACCTGTCCTGTGATGCCTTGCAGGATGCTATACAGTGCTACCCAAGTTGCAATGGTTTATTTTCCAAATAAATGCTGTTTTCTTTGATGTCTCCTCAATTTTACTCAAAAAAGCACCCGATAATTTCTCTCTGTTTTCCAGGGTCTGAATATTTGCTGTAGGCTACAGTTCTTATAAATACTTAATAATGTGCTTACTTTTTAAACAAATATTTCAGACAGTCCTAATAGCAAGAACATGAAGAAAGTTGGGAAGTATTTCAAGAATAACTTAAGTTTCAGGAATTCCTACCAATTCTGACTTCCTGTTTCTGTATCCCAAAGATCAGTATCTGTCAGGAATCTAGAAACATTCCTTTTTTGCTGTTCCTTCAATACAGATAATACACACACCACCACCACCACCCCCCAACCAACTGCTTCTTGCCTGAAACCCAATTTCCCTGCCATCTATACACCTTTGTTTCAGTCTTTTGCCAGGAGCCTTTCCTAACCAATCTGAAAATGATCATCCCCACCCCTTTCTTTACACTCCCTATCCTCTGTTCCCTCAACCTTGTTTTATTTTTTTAATAAGGAGAAAAATACCATTAATTGGATTCTTATACAAAATAGCTGTGTGGTTTTGGATAATTCTGGGAAACAGTTTCTTCATTTGAAAAATGAAATGAGACTGGTTTTAAAAAATTATTTATTTGAAAGAGTTGGAGAGAGACTGAGAGAAAGAAAGAGCTTCCGTCACCTTATTCACTCCCCCAGACAGCTGCAACAGCCAGAGCTGGGCCAGGTCGAAGCTCAGAGCTTCTTCCAGGTCTCCCACATGGGTTGCAGGGACCCAAAGACTTGGGCCATCTTCAGCTGCTTTTCCCAAGCCATTTGCAGGGAGCTGGATTGGAAGTGGAGCAGCAAGGACAAGAACCAGTGCTCATATGGGATGCTCGCATCACAGGCAATGGCTTCACCTGCTACGCCACAGTGCCAACCCAGGCCTGGCATTTTTTTTTTTTTTTTTGTGACAGGCAGAGTGGACAGTGAGAGAGAGAGACAGAGAGAAAGGTCTTCCTTTGCCGTTGGTTCACCCTCCAATGGCCGCCGCGGCCAGCGCGCTGCGGCCGGTGCACCGCGCTGATCCGATGGCAGGAGCCAGGAGCCAGGTGCTTTTCCTGGTCTCCCATGGGGTGCAGGGCCCAAGCACCTGGGCCATCCTCCACTGCACTCCCTGGCCTCAGCAGAGAGCTGGCCTGGAAGAGGGGCAACCGGGACAGAATCCGGCACCCCGACCGGGACTAGAACCCGGTGTGCCGGCGCCTCTAGGCGGAGGATTAGCCTAGTGAGCCGCGGCGCCGGCCAGGCCTGGCATTTTAATACTTAATTCTACTGCACATTAGAATCACTTAGAGAAGTTTCATAGAATACTGATCCTAGGTCTGCATCTGACACCAGCTGAATCCAAAACTCTGCTCTAGGGCTTGTCAAACATTAATGTGCACACAAATCACCTGGGGATCTTGTTTAACATGCTGATTCTGTGTCAGGTGGGACCCAAGCCTCCACCAGGCTCCCAGGTGATGGCAGTACCCCTGGTCCACCCACCACTCTCTGAATGACAGACTAAGTCAACTCCAGGAGCCCATTCACTCCCCAGATTCCACAAGCAAAGGCCATTCTTTCCAGTTTCTAGTTTTTGGAGAATAGTGGTGGCCCTTAAGGAAACAAGGCATCCTAGATTTCTTGGGGATGTATGGGGTAGGGGAGAACTAAGAAAAAAGCAGAGCTATGACAGGTGTGCACCATCAGTTTTCTTTTCCTTAACTGTTACCTTTTAAATATATGCAATATGAAATACATATAAAGCGAGGAAAACTGGAACTCAAGTTCAACAGAAACTTTGTGTCTCTTCACTATCAGCGAACTTTCCAAACCAAGTCCCCATGGGTGATATTTTGAAAAAACTCATTGTTTTCTGTGGCTGTGCCATTCTCTTTGCTTATTTACCTCCTGGTGCCTCTCTCTTGCAAATCGCTGAGAGGCTGTGTGTGCCTTCAGGGCAAACTTCAATAAACTGCATTTGTTGTGTATTTGGTTAATTTCCTGAAATACTTCTGTGTCAGCTAATGCAGGTGACAGCATTCGGAAAGAAGTCAGCACCTTGTTTCTCAATGCTGTGTTTCCCATGGTTCTGTGTTCAAAAACTGCCAACAGATCCTAGAAAAGTCTTAGGCCTTTCAAAGTAATTCATAAAAAATTTCTTCCTGAGTCAGAAGATTTCAAGCTAAATTTTCCTGGTCTTATTCCAGGTTGGTGACATGTGGCAATGTTGGTTTTGGAGTTAGCTTTTGTTTTTGTTTTCAGTATCTCCCTTCTCTTGACACCCTCCTTCTGCATGGAGTCAGATTTGAATGAATGAGAGGGAATCCACATTGTGGTCCATCTGGGCTCCAACGGACCATTCCAGCCTCACTGTCCCAATTTCTCTTTTCTCCCAGTAAGCTTTAACCGCATGTAAGATTGTGCTGGGAGAGGATCCCGTTAAGCTTCGTATCATCGATTCCATGGAAAAGAATAAATAGCCATTTCACTTGAAGGGAAGCTAATAGAGTGTGTTATTCAATGGTTTCTACCTCCTGCTAATCTGTGTTTAGCATGACTAAAAATTACATTTACGGAGTGTTTAGAACTTGCCTTAGATCCAGCATTCACTTCGTTTCTTAACATCCCCAGGATCTGCACCTTCATCATCCAGATGTAGAGTTGAAAAGCAGAGCCAGCCCTGAACGGTTAGCTCATTTTCCCAGGTCACCTGGGAACTAACTGATTTTCCAACTCAGGTTCCAAAGCCGCCTGCTCTCAACCCGCTCACAGTCTGAATTCAAGAAAAATAAATGTTATCTATGT